GCAGACTGGTAGCAAATCTATTACTTCCCCGCGCTTACTCGTGCAAGCCGGACAGCATTCGATTTACATCTCACGTGACTTCTTGCGCTTACTCGAGCCTGGCCCAAGTAACCTACTCACCGAGCCGGTTACTTGGGTAAGTATCGCATACGGACATGCAATAAACATGGCTGCCAACGTGACGTCCGGCGGGCGCCTCAGGCCGGCCGTGTCCGAAAACGGGCGGAAACAATATTGCAACCTGACGCCACTTTTATCTTCATATATCATCTCAATGAAGGTCATTCATCGCAAAAATGACGATAAGACGTGAATCTGGGGACTGAGAATCATTTCCAATTTTGTTAGGAAATACTTAGAAAATTGTTTCAACTCTCCATAGACTTTGTACACAAACCGATGAAGTGGCGTCAGGTTGCAACATTTTTTTCCGAAACGGGCTTCCAGAGCTACGTCTATTGTCAACGCGTCCCCGCGTGTTTTCAATGGGCGTGGACCTAGACCTAGCTCTAGACACTTGATTCGGATGCAGCCTGTGTCATGTTAAAGTTCAACTTTGCAGCTCTGGCACGAAACTTTACCCGACATTTTTCGTTTATTTAGCTCCGCTGCACTGCGCATGTCTGTCATCACGCAAGGAGCCAGGCGCGAGTATAAGCTGGGGGAAGTAATCGAACGCACTCTTTAGCGTGAATGCACGTGACACATTAGGCTACGTCATTAGTGTTAGCCAATAGGGTAACAGCTTAAGTCTTGTGTTTGGCTCTAGCCTGGTGCGGTAGATTTCGTGTCTACGAACGATCAGTCACTGTGTGTGAGTTTGTGAGACAGTTCATGTTGAGCAATTGAGGCTGAAGGAGTTTTGCTAATACTGGTGAAAAACGGAGGCCTGCTAACTGAGAGGCAGGTACCTGTTACTGGTCTAGTAGAACTAGTTATTGTTGTCAATTTGCCAATAAAGAGTTGCTTATAATATTGTATAATTTGGGGTTAACTCACGTTGCTTGGTGCCTCGTCGGTTATGTAGGTGTAACTATCCTAGGCTTGCTGTGTGCGAGCAGAGAGAGTGCCATACTTGTAAACAATTGGATTGTTTATTTAGTACTGATGACCCGCTCAAAGGATTGAGGGCTGAGCAAAAGGATACAGGTCGAACGTTCGCATCTGTACAAAAGACGCCTCAAGAACGGGGTTAAGACAGACAGTGAGAATAGAGCTCTGACTCGTGTCATTTCAGTCCGATTTCCTGAAGGTTTATTGTCATAAGTATGAAATCTGTGGGTTACATTTGTGGGTACCATCTGTGGGTTACATTTGCGGGTTACATCTATGGGTTACATTTGCGGGTTACACTTGTGGGTTACATTTCCGGGATGCTAATTAAACCAGTTTCTTTAACTATAATCTCTATTTATATAAGAGTCAATATAAATCTTGTAAATTGTAGAGATGATTATACAATGAATAATAAAAGTAAAATATTGATTGTCCTTGCACAGAAACGAACTGTTCTTTGTCCATTATTGTAAACTAATTATATTGCATGAACCCAAGAGATTAACAAACAATTACAAATCGGTGGTAAATTGCTCCCAGAACGAATCCATGCTTCTCGGGCCCTAGATCGCTTCAGAGTAGCAAGTAGGGCCTACATATTTATATATCCAAACACTGAATAGTTTCAAGTTGACGTAAGCTGGCTTTGCATACAACCTTGTAATGTATCCCAGTATCAAATATACAGTATAATTATCGATCTTGCGAAAACACGTGTGCCTTGTTATGTCAGATATTATTTTTTCACCACACATTATAGGTTGCTTGCTGGACGACTAAAACTTGAAAATCTGTAGCGTTGTTCTACTCTCGGGATGGTCAGTTGTGATTGAGACTATGGGCAGCGGCGTAGCTAGGATTTTTTTGAGTAGGGGACACAGGGGGACATAAGAATATCATTGGGGGTACATATCCTTTTGCAGTTTCTTTTTTCCATTTGAGCCCCATAATGCTTCGCTATATCCATTCACATAAGAAATTGTAAACAGTCGGCCTTTGCCTAACTGGAAGAATACAACTTAAAATAAACCTTTTTGTGGATGGGGACGGAAACGGGGCATTATAAGTATTTTGTTTGGGGCCACCTGGGGGGGGGGGGTTCACGGTAAATATGTGGGGGCACGTCCCCCCCCCCCCCCCCCCGTGGTTACGCCACTGAGCATGGGACGTGCTTCGCACTTTGGCCTGCCTAGCCATGATATTCAATTAATTAGAATTACCGGTGTGTTGTGCAAAGTGAGACTTTGAAATAACACACTTTAGACCAAACTGACAACTGAAGATGGAACACAGAAACGATCTAAAAAAAATTGACCTGTTCACTGCCAATATTAACATAACAGTCAATTAAAAAAAACATGGACATCAAAGTGAATTCATTATGATATAAAGCTCATAATTATTCAGAATTTCAAATTCACATCCTGAATAATTAAGCAGGTTCTATTGGGCCCGCAATAAGGAATAAATCCTTTGACTGTTAAATTGCTGAGTTTGAGATCAGGTATCTGAACAGAACGCTACTCTGTTTATAAGTGAAACGTCGCTCTCGGTTTTGCGTAAAAAGGTTACGTTGTTTTTAGTGGAAGCAACACAAAATTAGAGACATGCTGGGACGTCCCTGCTCAAACGTTCTGATCATTTTGCTCCTAATTGCCGGCCTTGTAGTCAGTTCACGGATCGAATATGAGAAGGAATTTTCCCGAGAGGAAAGCAGGAATCTAAAAAGTTACTTGGTGAGTAAGTCCACGTTTTATATTTTATGGTTTGAAGACCGATGTAGCATGAATTTAAGTTTTATGAAATACGGACTCATTGGTGGTATTGCGCATGCTCATGTATAGATAATTTGGAGAGGGACCAGTCACCGGCATTGGCACCATTATGTACTACATTTATATTTGCATTGCTGGGCGTAATTTTGTGTGCTTAGGTCAAGTGAATGAAAGCAATTGTTTCTTGTCCGAGCTTTTTGAACAAACTAAGGGAGGATTGGATTCTTCTATTTTCTCGACCCTTTTTGCTGATACTTCAGAGTCTTAAACTTTCATACAAATTTTACTCGAAGCACATTAAGGAAAAAATATATTACAAATGTTTTATTTTTGTTTTAAATGAAAAAAATAAAACCAGGAAATTGCCGCGAACACTTTTCGGAGGCGAACAGGGACAAGAAACTGGTTTATTTGTTCAGTTGACCCTATGAGCCGATCAGACTACAGAGACGCCGGCGTTCACGGCAAAGACCGTCACGTGTATCTACTACTCTTGTCACAAAACAGAACGTGACTGTAAACTTGTGCTGAAAGGGAAATTGTTTGTGTCCTTTTTGCAGAGGGAGGACCAACGAGCAATAGTAGGAGACACCAGGGTCAGAAGGATCGGTCGACATCAAGGAAAGAAGATTGGATCCATCATATACAATCCGGTGTAGGCATGCGACTGATGTAGCCTTCTTTTCCATCCTTTTCACTTCATTTTGGTCCAATTCTGGGTTATTTTTTCGAATAAAAATGTTATATTGCACACATCGTTCGTGCGAATTACAGTAGAGTTGCAATTGACCCTATAATGCAATATTTATTTGTTGATTCAAGTGTTAGTTCATTCGTTCTCTGGTAATTATTGTGTACCACGATATTGCGATCCCTGCATGGATAAGTCGTATTTTCTCCTAATTATGTCACTTTAGGGGCGTAGCAAGGTCATTTTTATGTGGGGGAGGGGAATTTCTTGAAAAGGGCACTTGCACATCCGAGCTGAAATGTAGACACGTTATTTTTCTCTCCGGACACTTGGCCTATGTAAAATTACAATGGGGGGGGGGGGGGCTAGCTGGTACCATCAGTCGATTGGGTGCTGTTCAAAAACGACGAATATGCAAACTAGCAGCAAAATGTATGGTGCTGTTTAGGGCATTACATGCGCGAAATTTAAAAAATGGCACCCGTTTCGGCCGATGGCAGAAAAAAGGCAAGACTTTTTTTAAAGCACTTGTTCAGGCCTCAGGGAAAAAAAAGGACTTGATAAAAAAAAGGAACGTGTTACAAATATTAGGGGGGGGGGCCGCTGGTGAAAAAAGGGCATTCAAATGGAAAAGGGCCAGTCTTTACAAAAGAATGGGGGGAATAATTTTCCCCTAAATGGACTTAAAGACAATGTTTAAATGCTCGGCTTCTGCCGGGGCTATTCGGACCTAATCGCTTACTATAAATTGCTTGGTTTTAGGATTAACATTGTCCAACAAAAGGGATAATAAATGTTGCTAAAATATCTGGTTCCCGTCTCACCATTTCGTTTGTTTATTATTGTAAATGGACTATATGTGTTGAAAACGATGTCAGCATGTAGTGCATCGATCTCAATTGATTCCAAACTGAGGGAGAAGGAGAGCGGAAATATATGAGGAAATAACCACATCTTTCAGTGGTTCTGCAAGACAGAACGGAACTGAATGTGTCTACAATCCCCCTCATGGTCCTGCTATTTGAATTTGAATCACTTGCCTGGCTAGTCACTTGTTGTTGGGTCTGTCCTTGGTGCCCCCTCATAACATGTGTGTTGATCCGATTTTACTGATAGTGAAGATTACGGTCAAATAAAGGTCATGGCTTCGTTAAGATAAGTGTCAGTTTATCATGTGTACTCTGACACTTAAAGGTTGCACTGATAATCATATCAAATATGTCAATTACATTGGAGGATGCACAAACTGCATAAATTCAATTTGTTCCCCTGAAGGAAGACCGGGGTCATTAACTGAAATTAATTGGATGTAAGTAACTATGAATATAGTCTAAGTGTTGAAATTGATTCTGGAACTTATTACAAAATGGAATGTTGAACCGTCGTCATTCTGGTATGTGTTTACCACGCCATTGGCGTCCCCCGCCCAAAATTATTTGTGGTAAAATGCCCCCCCCCCCAAAAAAAATCCCCAGCATCGTCGCCCGTGTTTGTTACACAAGTCCTTCGGACCGACAGGGTTGTTTGTTTCGATAGGCTGCGTGGTGTGACCTCTACCGTACTTCGCACTTTGATCGAATAGTTCGGCAATCAAGTACCAAACAACACCGACCAAGCTGGGCTTCCCACAAAAGTGTCCCGAGTCCGTAATTTACTCTTTGTACAAAACATGTGCTGTTCTTGAAACTAATCTGTGCTGGAAGTGCAGCATCATCTGCTATTGCCACCTCAGACGACAACCACCATGACAGTCACGGTAAGTTCTTCTGTGTTTCAACTTTTGTTATTAATTCTTGTTCTTTTTAAAGGCGACATAATTAATTGTGTATGTTTATTTAAGAAAGTAAGAGAGCAGTTTGTGTGTTAAGTTGCATTGTGCAAAGTTGGCTCAAAAAATGTTGTACATGGAGGTAAGAATGCACGTTTTCTTTTTATTCAATTGTCTGATGCTTTGAAAATGTTTTTATTTCTTAATTTTTAATCGTATTACGATAAAAGGCACGCAACCTATCATATTAATTATAGCCGATTTTAAGCGCTTGCACTTTGCAGTAAGGCCTACAGATGGCGTGCATTGTATGCAGCGGCGGTGCTACTGGGTGCAGGCATGCCTCCCTACTGTCTTCCTTGTCCCATGTCCCCCCCCAAGAAAATTAAGCAAAATAGGAAAAAGAAAGGAAAGACTCAAAGTCAACATTTTACTCCACATTTCGAAACCCTCGAAATGGCCCTAAAATGCTGATGTAAGATATTGTACATAATACAGCGCCCCTTGCCCTAAGCCTTAAGATTTTTGCCAGGGCTCAAGTTTATTTGTATCTTCTCCCCGCCAGCCCCCCCCCCCCAAAAAAAAATACAAATACAAATAAAAAAAAAAATACCAAAAAACAACAACAACAACACCAACAACAAAAGGCCCCCACTTGCTCCCCCAAATTGTAGAGTCTGGCGCCGCCACTGACTTTATGGTAACATTTTCAGGAAGAGTGTGCAAAATTTTTGGACACCACGCACCGTTCATGTTGGTAAATTAAAAATATTAACATGTAGTCTGACACACAGATATCGATGAGCACCTGAATCAGAAGAATGGGCTCATCTGGTGTTTGTTGTAGATATATTTAATCGAATGCATTTAAACTAAACGTTTAGTTTGCTGTATATTTTCTGCAGGCCAGGAATGGGAGGAAAGGTCCAGGAGAGACCGGAAGTGGAGGAAGTTCAGACTCATTGAATTCCTCTGTTGAAAATGAAAGCATGGAAAGCACTGTCCAGCTGAAGAGGGAGGTTGGATTAGTCCGAGCGGTGTCTCTGATCGTAGGAGCGATGATTGGATCTGGTATCTTCATCTCACCGAAAGGTGTTCTCCTTTCAGCCAACAGTGTGGGCATGAGTCTGGTGGTATGGTTCCTCTGCGCTGTGATATCTGCGTTAGGTAACATTAAACTTCGACGTCTCTTGAGAATCGGCCATATTTTGAGCAAATAGGGAGCTTTGTACAAACCGTAGAAACTCTAGTAGAAGCAGCTTTGTGCTTCTATTTCAAATTTAACGACAATTATTAACGTCCGACATCAAATGACGTCATCAAAGCACCGCCATTTTACGTTTGAACGTACTCAGATTCAGCCCGCCAGATATTGCAAACGTACAACAGGACCCAAGTGAAACACACGTTGGTTTGCTAGACTGTTGTTGTGGCACGGAGAAATCTACCTTGTCCACTCGAGGGATCCCCCTCCGTCAATTTTGAATCTATTGGTGAAAACAAATGTTTTGTTCTTTAAAACTCATTGAGTCACCCCTGCGAATTTAAGCTCATTGTCTCTAATTTGCTTACTGAAATCCCAACACGAGCTGTACATATGTATTTTTTAGTTTTCATTATTATATTTATTGTTTTCAGGTGGGATGTGTTTTGCTGAACTAGGCGCAGTGGTGCCACTAGCTGGAGGTCAATACCAATACGTGCTGCATGCCTATGGTAACCTACCTGGCTTCATGGTTGCATGGTCTCTGGTAGTTATTATGAAGCCAGGTAGTGTTGCCCTGACAGCTATCACCTTGGGAACCTATATATCTGATTACGTCATCGCTGGTGATTGTGCTCCTCCTAGGGAAGCGGTCCAACTTTTTGCTATTCTCACAGTCAGTAAGTATCGTTATAATGGCTATGTTTGGGAATTTGATTGAGCAAGATGGTTTTAGACCGATTGGATGATGAGGTTGAGTCATTAATCCATGACCTCTATACTAATTGGACTGCCTGCTACAAGCTGAGTGCACTAAGCACCTTGAAGCAACTGATCTGCCATCTTGTATCCCCAAAACGACAGCCCGGAATTTCATGTCCTTGATGCTGCCATTGAGTTTTCCCTACTAATCAAATTCTTGAAGGCCCAACACAATCAGTTAATGTGTATGTTATTGTTGACCAGTCATAGGATTGGGACTGTTTAGATCTCAAAAACTGCTCAGAGAATAACATTCCTATTATTTTTGTTTGGTGCCTTAACGTGAAGAAGAAACCAATACTAGCAACTCCTTTAACAAAACTGCGTACTGCGCATGCGTAAAAGGTAACACAAGATGGCAGACGGAAGGTTCAACGCGTGGACATGGTCGGCCAGTTCACGTTGTTTTTGAGAGAGTTAACAAGCTGTGAGCGACAGTAACATTAGATGTACATGTTCTGATTGGAAATTTAAAGAAATCGTAGCAAAAGGTTAGAGGGGATTTGACTTTTCAATTTAATTCATCGTCTCAAGGAGGTTTCATTGTCAGTCTGGCAAGGCATGTCTTCAACGACACCAAGTAAGTTATGCGTGGCGAGCATTTTAGGGTATATTGCATTTCTACAATATTCTGAGGTCAAATTCTACATTTTTTGAACGCCTTAGTGTTGATTGCATTCATCAACTGTGTGGGTGTTCGACTAGCCAGTGGATTATCTGTGGTCTTCTCAGGAGCAAAAGTCATTGCCCTCATGGTAATCATCATTGCTGGTCTCGTCAAAGTATCCCAAGGTAACTTAAAATTAAGATTAAAATGTGTGTTTCTTCATTTTCCTAACAAACTGCATGGCTGTATTCACCTTAGGGCCTGTAGTAGCCTGCAGTCAAAATGTACTACATGTATTTTACTTTTACTTAAAAAAGGGTGGGGTCTACCCGATGTTCACCAATGCCTATGTGCCGCAAATCATACCGATGTTCCCCAAAATCATTAGGGTATAAGGTAAGAGTTAGGATTAGGGAACATAGGTATTGGGGAAGTACAGCGAAAAGTATGTCTTTCACATAAAAACAAATTTGTTTCTGGGGAATCAGTCGATTATATGTGTTTGTTCGTGGATGCCAGCTCAAATTACTAGTGATTATGTTGCTTAAGAACAGAACTGAAAACACAGCGAGTTTTGCAAATGAAGCAAATCAACTCAGCCGTGTTTTGATAGGTCAAATTAGTTCAATTCGGGCGTTTTACAATGCAGTGCGCCACCAGGTGTTTGCCACGGAGAGTTTATTATACAATTGTTGGAGATTGTTGACAAGTTGGCAGCGCGGGCTATTTGAATTTGTTTAGCTAAGCGTATAATTCGAATATCTGTTTGCCCTTTTCTTTTCCATTTATCAATATGTTTTGGTTTGTAAGGTGGCAGAACGCTATGCCCCAGTCTGTAACAAATTACCTCAAGTTGTCTACTAACACTCATTCAAATGGGCTATGTTTTGTCGACCGTAAAACTTGAAAAATTGACACTCCATGGCAGTTAAACTCTTTGTGGCACACTGCATCGTGAACCGGCCGAATTCAGCTAGCTTATGAATTACAAAGCCGGGGATTTCCATATATCGGAACAGCACATACCTTGTTTTCAGGTCACACGGAGTATTTAGACCCATCGGTGTCATTTGAAGGTTCCAGTACGCAGTTCCTAGGCTATGGGCTAGCATTCTACTATGGCTTCTGGGCGTATGGCGGTTGGTGAGTATTCGTCAAATGCTTGGGTTATTTCGGTAAGCAAAGACAGTGTTGTGTTACATTTCATTTCAATTCTTATCTTCAATCGAAGTTGTACTACAAACAGCTATCGCGTACTCTTCATAAACTAACATGCTTACAGAAGTGAGATATAGTTTTGTAATAGTGAAAATAGGGTGTGAAAACAATTTGAAAATTTCCCTTTTTCTGTCATTACTCGAAGGGAAATACTGAACAGTATCACCGAGGAGCTGAGAAATCCAAGCAGGTTGGTCATAAAAAATATTCCTGTTACACCCTTTGACAGTGGTCCAACTGATGTTGGGACTGTCCCAACAATAGGTGAGCCTGTCCCAACATTACTTGGGACAAGCCAAACTAATGTCGGGACCATTGCCATAGTAGGGGTGTAACGTTTCCCCTCATTAAAATCTTATCTTCATCAAGGCCCATTTAGTTTGAACAACGATAAGTATTAAGCAACACAGCAGCAGCAGATGGTCAGCAGGCTATAGCAATAGCAGCAGCATCAATCATGCATAGTATAGTTGTTGTTGCCATTTTGCAATTATTTGGCATGAAATTGCCGCCATCCTCGTCACAAAATAATGTTTGACATAGCTAATAATAGGGCAGCCCTACATTAGTTAAAGAGATTACAGATCCGACTACCCACCGGCATTAATAAGTGAGGGTTTAATAGTCTGTGGGCTTGCGGGGGGCCATATTCACTTTGGGTAAAATCTTTGAAACTCTCAGGATCACGTATTGATACCTTAACAAGTTCAAAGCCATTTTGTTTCTTACCATGTAAAGGGCGAGGCTATGACATATAAAATGGGGGCACATCATGCCAATCAATAGATATGCCTTATCCCTTTTTCTCTGCCTCGTGTATGGACAGAAGACCAAAGCGATACATCAAATGATGCGTAAACAGTAGAAAACCATAGACATGTAATAATAGATGTAGGAAATAGGCCGGTTAATTTTTTTCCCATACCACTAATTCGCTATTGGCGTATACTGAAGCACTTGAGATGGGCGTATACTGAAGCACTTTAAATTGCAAGTCAGGTTCTCGGACTTTATTTTCCCTTGAAAAAGAATTATCCAAACCACAATTTGGTAAACGAAAGATGTTCCAAATGAGTAACAAACCTTTTTTAGAGGAAACAAAAAGAAGTAAAGAACAAACAATCCCATGGGAATGGAACTCACACCATCTGCTTTGTAATCAAGTGCAGTATCCACTACACTACAGCAGTGACTCGACCGACATGGTAGAGAGTATAAGTATTAGGGTATTTCGTAGTATATAGTGTAGGCTGCCCTCCGGCATAATTCTTTATAGAAGCGAATATGTGGTATAAAAAAATAAATCGCGGCCCGTTGTGTTTGCCGCCACCAAGCGTCTCAATAGTTTCCCTTTAAAGGGTGTGTTTGTTTCGATTTGTCAATTTCAGGAATATTCCGCTGGCTATCGGTATCGCTATACCTGTTGTGACAACGATTTACCTACTGACTAACATCGCATATTTCACCACACTCTCCCCGACTGAGCTACTGGCTTCAAGCGCTGTTGCAGTGGTAAGTATATCATTCCAATGGGAGACTTTTAAGACGCTTGGTGGCAAAAGGCATACCTGTCATTTTCTATTGTTTTCGTCATTTTACACAGGTGCAAATTAGATTAAACACGACGCAAACAGTTGAAAAGGACTGTTGTGTTGCTTCCAGCAAGCGTCTCAAAAACTTCCAATTCGAATACATCACGTAGCTTTGCCTTTTTTTTTAAAGAAAGGTCATTAATCATAAAGTTTACCAAAATTGTCATTTTCTGAGTGTAGATTTAGTAAGAATGTTTCAAAAACATTCGGGGAAAAGGCTTTCTGCATACAGGTGGTATTCAGAGTTCGCTTCCATTCTATAATGCAAATGGCGCGTCCCGAATCATTTTTTGATGATAATAATAGCGCCTTCTTGTTTTTCTGATCGCAGACATTTGCCGAGCGAACCCTTGGCTCTATGGCTTGGGTTATTCCCTTGGGTGTGTGCATCTCTACGTTTGGTCATCTACTTGGTAGCATCCTTGCCGCCCCAAGGTATTCCAATGGTGACATAGGGCATTGTCCGATGCTAAGTTGGTATGGAATGTGTTGTTAACTCTATTTGTTGGAACTGTTTTTCCTATACGATGATTCGTATATCTGTTTGGCGTGATCGGTGAATTGGTGATCGTGGCGCCATTGGCCGATGGCTCCGCCACAGTCGCTCGCCTTTCTTTCGCGCGCTCTGAAGGATTGTTATCAAAAGGGCGAGTCAAGGTTGGGATTTCTTACATTGCAAGTGCATTTCTGTTACCGTGTTGGATTACTTCCCCAGCGCTTACTCGTGCAAGCGCCACTGCGTCCAACCCTCACATGACGCCTCGCACTTATTCGAGCCTGGCCCAAGTAACCGACCCGTTGAGCCGGTTACTTGGATAAGTATCCCAAGGGGCCAAGCTTAACCCTAAAGGGGCCGGGCGGAATCCCTTTCTTTTGATACCAAAAACACAAAATTCGGTCAAGGGGTTGCCACGCAGCGAAAAATGTACCGGCGCTACGCGCCGTGGAAACTAAATTGTCCCGTATAAGTAGTGTACCCAAGACAGAATTACCATTCGTTCTTATGAATAATTCATTAGCCATAATTCCAAAACCGTTTTTACGTAGTAGTCATACAATTTCTTGAGTATGTTCATAATGAAATCTGTGCATGTACCGAGGTTCATAATTTTTCGTCACTCTATGGTCGAGATCTTAGGACGAAGGCGGTATCCGCCCCAGGCTGAGAGATGGTCAAAATAACCTGGCCCTTTTAGGGTTACATATGGCTGAAAATTTGTATCACTCTACTGTAGAATGGAGGAAATTTCACACATAGTGTCAACTTCAATGTCACCTTTTAAAACCAATCCAACTTTAAAAAGGGGCTTTCGATATTCAACGTTTGTTATTCATTATGACCGCGTACATTACTCGTACATCGTCGATCAAGTGGCCTGCCGTATTGCGCATGTGCAAATTTAGAGGTACGAGAAAGCGGGATGGGGGTGGGAGAACGGGTAATCGAAAACGCTCTTCGAGATCAGGTGATAGCGCAGCCACCACCAATCGCCCAACATATCCAATAATCAGAGCATTTTTGTTTACATTAAATAGGACAGCCTTTGCAGCCGGAAGAGAAGGTCATATGTTGAAGGTTTTGTCAATGATCAATGTGAAGCGGTATACGCCACTTCCGGCGATAGTCTTGCAGGTCAGTATATGTTGATTGGGTGATGGGGTACCACGCACGGCACCTGGTCACTGATTTAATTGCTTGGATTTTGTTTGAGATCGGGCGCAACCCGTTTAACGTTTTCAGATTGCTAGGGTTTTTCGTTCTTCTTTTCCTTGTTTCTTTTTTTTTTTGGGGGGGGGCAATAATTCTCTTGGGTTTTCTTGTAATCGCTATAACGTATCTTTGATTGCCGACGACAAATTCGTCAGACCTTTTCTTTCCGGGGTAACCAGAGGTTCAAAGGTGCATTAGCAATTAGACATTGTTAGGTTTGTAAAGTAATGAGAAACAAGAGATGAGTTTATTGTCGTGTATTATAGTCACGCCACAGCGCCCTCAGGAGAGCATAACTTGTACATTTATACAAAGAGTGATTTAAAGCATGAGGAAGCAAACAAACGTGAGCCTCAAATCAAAAACAAACTCAAATTTCATTTAAACTAATCACGGGATAATAATCAAACCTGGCATGAACTCGAGTCCTGGACCAAAACGTTAAGATGTTTGTGACTTCATCATTGCGTCTTAACGGAGAATTAAAATTCATACCCATCATTTCAATTTGTGTCTGACCACTATGTTCGTAGCACAAAATAATAATAATGTCCGGAACAATGTTGACTATAGACTTCAATTATTGTGACTCATTTTTCATCAAACCCGGAAGTTAGTTGATAGCAATACAATACACTTTAAATTGTTTTTTTTTCACTTCATGATGCACTTCAATCGTCTCTGAACTAAATCAGTATTCATTTAACTTCAGTTGGAAATGCCCAATGATATAGTTGCTGCCGATCACCCTGTGTGTTTGTAGCTCAAAAAACCGCACATGTCATTTTTCATTTTTTGTAGCCTTTTTTTGACGATTTCCTGAACCTATCTTGTTCACAATAAATATAAATTACCCCTCGAAGTGTAATTTGCTTGTTGCAGGATTTGTCCCAAAGAGATCATGATTTTAGCTGGCTCGGGTTTTTAATATTTTGACTTGTGTTATGTTATCTGTGTTCTGTCCGACTATGTCAATAACAAAGTTTCAATAACACGTTTTCCCACGTATACCTTCAATCATTCTTCATCTACAAACTTATTGTCTTTCAGGCCACTATATCGATTGTTTTCATCCTCCTTGGGGACTTCAAATCAATTCTCATTTTCTCTGGCTTCGTCAACTACATCTTTGACGGGGCTACATTTATGGCCGTTCTGATTTTACGACGGAAGTACCCGGATAAACCAAGACCATTCAGGGCAAGTAATGACTTTAACTTAGCTATGATTAATGATTGTCTATTCTAGATTAAGTGAGTTTTACTCGGGTCCCGTACACAAGCTAAAGGGGGGGGGGGGGGTTGCTTTGTGTTGACTAAATTGGCAGGTAAATTAGAATGTGGATTGAAGTCTCCAGGAATGGAGAGTTTATAATCCACTAGATCCACTTAGGCCTAAGTGCAAGTCCCAGTTTCCAACATTGATTCAATAAGAATCTTATGAGGAAAACAAGATTAATTCCTGTACTCAATCAATGGAAATGATCCTTAGCTTAGTCTGTGCATGTCATCATTCGGTAAAGAACTCGGTAACATCCCTCGGAGATATTCCTATTAACTAAGGGTTTAAGGCGAGAAAGGGAGCCTTAATTCCTTACACTTTTCTTAAGAATGTATTATTAATTTGTTCTGTTTTTCCTTGCTTGCTTCAGGTGAATATCTTGATACCTATCATCGCGACTGTCGTCTGCGTCTTTATGATCTTGGCGCCATTAATTTCCGATCCTACCTGGGAGTATCTGTACGCCTTTGTAGTAATGGCCATAGGTCTCTTGGTCTACCTCGTGTTCGTCTGGGGGAAAAGACAACTACCCTTCATGAGTAAGAAATACCGTTAATGTGCATCTGGAACAATATAAACATCAACAGTTTTAACATTGTGTATCAAGTTGTCCAAAATATTGTAGAATCGTGTCATCCATGTATTAATATACTTTACCATTTACACTTCATTTTACAGTTTGATCGAAGACTTGCTTTCATTATGACATTTTGTTATTCATTATTCGTTATTTCTTATCTCTTATTGGTTTATTTTAGATCACACGACACTGTTTCTGCAGAAGTTCCTTCTTGTCACAACTTCAACTGAGGATTCTAGCATTCACGAATAACGAAAACAGCACGGGCTCACTTAAATAATTGGACAAAATAACTCTTCAAAGATTCACACTATTATATGATTGCTTTTAACAACATTTATTTATGGTGAAATCACAGTTATTATTCAATGTTTCGTTTTTCAACATGACCCTATTTATTTACTGTACTTGTTGAAAAATTAGCAAAACAGACATGCTCTTTAAGTATAAATGAGGTTAGAAACTGATATTCGTGATGTCATTGTTTAACAGAAAAGTGCCTTTACTAAGCTTTGCTGTTTACTGAGAATTTTTAGGTATTAAGTATTTCCGCTTAATTTCTACTGCATTCAAGCAAATTAAGATTATACGAAAGGTCTCATAAATCAATCGACTATTTTACAATCTGCTTTAATATGGATATTATTTTGCATTTCTGATAAGATCAAGGTTCAAGTAATATTATCTGTGAAGCAATCCATGAAATAATTTTTCAAAAAAGGAAAAACAACTGTAAACCTCTCTGCTTAAAAAGTTAAGGTCCCAAGTATGTTTTGTCTGCTTTGCATTTTGTTTTAAAGAAATGTTACAGAATAAAACAAGAAGTGTTAGGCCTAAAATAAAGCTCCTGGAACACTCCTAGAACATTTACATTGAAGTAAATTACTCAAGCTGTATTGACATTTAGAAGGCGCAACACTCAATATTACTTGTTCCTGAAGATATGATGAATGCACTCTACAGGATGTATAAAAAAAGGTAATCTAAAATCAATCGGCACATATGTTAAAGTAAGAAAATGGTAGAATCATACTAGAATGTCAAAGAGGTTTCATCTTAAATGTTAGTTCATTAGCTTTTAATTGATACCATAATAACACCTCTTCAGTCACAGATAACTGATTAGCGTTGTTTTAGAAACAAAGGCAAAAACCCTCTTTATCCAAGTTTACTGAAATATTTGGTGAGTTAAGCCGTCAGAGAAGACTGCCCTGTCGCAGCTGTGGACAGTGCGTTAAAAGGGGGTAGGCTTTTGTTGGAGGTGTTGTTGCTTAAAACGGTGCCTTATGTTATCCATAAATTATTAATCATTCCAAAGATGTCCTTTTTCATCACAAACTAGCAATTATGACTTATCAAAAATCGGTAAAGCATAGCTTGTAATGGGGATAGCCAAAGCCATGCCAAGTTGGGCAAACGCCCAGGCTAGTTAGTTATGAGGACACCTTTGCATTTGGTAGTTATTATTTTAATGAATCAACACAACATCTTTGAAATGTTTGATTAATCATGAAACATGATATTCCATTGTATGCTCAAACACTTTCAACATGTCTCTCTCCTCACACTAAACCCATAATCCACTGCGACGGCGCACATTTTTGGACAGCTCAACCTGCCACTGAATCAGGTAAACTTGGAAAAGGTTGGTGTTTGGCTTTGAGATGATAAACAAAATCTCTGGAACGATCATTCATTCATGAAAAACATTATTATGTACCATTTTATGCAACAACATTATCTGTCAAACCCCTGTGAGGCACTGTCCACCGTGACTACAGAATAATTGATGTTAACATTTTAACGTTTTGACAGGGACCTCCTAGCATGGGCACACTTCTTTTTTTTTGCGTCAGTAACCAAAAATAATGTTAATAAACAGAGTATTGTTCTGTTCAGTTATACCTGATCTAAAACTCAGCAACTAAACAACCAAGGCTAAGGTTGTAAACTGCATTATTGTATTCAGTGTCAAAAACTCTGCTCCTAAACGGCTGAACTCACGACGCGTGTCAATATGGTTGCAAAAATTTGCTAGGATAATACTTGTATATAAATATATATTATGATTTAAACTAGAGATAAGAATGTAAAATTCTAATAATCTTCTAGTAATGAATATTTCATGCCAAGTGTGAATTTGTTTTTTCAAATTGACTGTAATGACGACAGCGATGACCTCGAGTTTATGTTTGATCATTTGAGCTACTTTTCTTTGAAGTGATACTGTAACAGCTGCGGGGGTAGTGTAGGTATTCGGCTCCTCATAAGTCAGTAGTTTTTCTGCTCGGGCTTTGTAAGGGTCTCTGACATGGTTTGGGTCAGATGTCACAGGTTTGCCCTGCGCATCGTTTACAAAAAAACATTTACAACAACTCGTCAACTGCTATACTCTGGGCAGCAGGTACTTTCCCGCACTTCTCAAGACCCTATTCATAGCAATACAACAAAAAGCCACTTGCCAGACAGTTGCCAGACAGTGCGCTGGAAATATAATTGACTGGCGGATGTGGTATGCAGTTGTATGCAGTTATGAAGGGAGATGGCTGTGTCAAGTTACAGGTCTTTGTTGATGTTTCAATGAGACTTGGCAGGAGGCCTGGTCGAAAGTTTGTTGACACTGCCTGGGTGAAGCCCTGGCTGCAAAGTTCATTGAACCAGCTCATTTGAACGAGCTTATATTCTCAAAAAAATCGGTTACCTGGGGCCCAAAGGGCAACAGGTCACTCTGCGCAAGATTAAGGAATGCCAAGCCTTTCGATATAAGCTTTATACATGTTCAAGAAGATTTATTTTCGCAATTGGCTCCGTGAAAACTGTGAATAAACAATACGTGTAGTACGCAAAATGTAATCTACGGAGCTTTTAAAGGGACATAGGTGAAAAAAATTGAAAAAATCCATCGTAAGAATGAAAACAAATCTGCGTTCGAACGCAAAAAATCTGCGTTCGAACGCAAAAAATCTGCGTGCGAACGCAAAAAATCTGCGTGCGAACGCAAAAAATCTGCGTGCGAACGCAAAAAATCTGAGTGCGAACGCAAAAATCTGCGTGCGAACGCAAAAAATCTGCGTGCGAACGCAAAAAATCTGCGTGCGAACGCAAAAAATCTGCGTGCGAACGCAAAAAATCTGCGTGCGAACGCAAAAAATCTGCGTGCGAACGCAAAAAATCTGCGTGCGAACGCAAAAAATCTGCGTGCGAACGCAAAAAATCTGCGTTCGAACGAAAAAAAATCTGCGTTCGAACAAAAAAAATCTGCGTTCGAACGAAAAAGCTGTTTGCCGTTTGCTGTAAGCTGTTTGCCCTCCCTGTGCTGCCCCACCACTTATGTGGGTGATTTTTGTGGGTCAAAACATTCTTTGCCCTGAAAACTGTTGTACCAAACATGTAAAACGTATCAATCATGAGCTGCCTCATATCATGCTCTTGTAAGTGCAACAGTTTCTCCACATTTAACTGGTTATCCATGGGCCACCAAAAAACATGTCGGGCTAGCCATGGCTATCAGAATAGCCCGACATGTTTGTCGATTGCTATGAGTATGAGTAGGAATCAGCTAATTAGTGAATCCCGTATCTGAAAGTGAGGAAGCAGAAAGTACATGTACATGTACTAGTGTTAGACTAGTAAAATAGGCTTATTGAAAGCCAGAAATGATCAAACAATATATACATGTCAGTCGCTTCTAAAGTTTGGAACTATTACAAGGATTAGGAATGAACATTTATACTGTAAAGGATTTGTGGATAGACAAATTTCTGAATAACGACCAGTTATATTTATTTACCTGAAAAATTTGAAAGATAATTATATAGCCTTTTTAATTATTTTTTTAAAACTTGCCTCACTTTATAAAAAGAAACCAAAAAGGCAAATTACTTTTAAAAATGTCTCATAAGTGTGTTGCCTCAGCATAGCATAATGGGTGGGACTGATGGGGTGGGGGGGGGGGGGTTGGTTGTGTTGTAGCTAGTATTGTAACAGGATAGGGACTCTTACAAAAAGAAGGACAATTAGCTAGATCTTCATTGCAATGGTTAAACTTCATGACCAACTAACAGCAAGCCCTAGTAAGACCGTTTGACAGATTTTTTGCGTTCGAACGCAGATTTTTTGCGTTCGCACGCAGATTTTTTGCGTTCGCACGCAGATTTTTTGCGTTCGAACGCAGATTTTTTGCGTTCGCACGCAGATTTTTTGCGTTCGCACGCAGATTTTTTGCGTTCGAACGCAGATTTTTTGCGTTCGAACGCAGATTTTTTGCGTTCGCACGCAGATTTTTTGCGTTCGAAAGCAGATTTGTTTTCATTCTTACGATGGATTTTTTCAATTTTTTGTTTCACCTATGTCCCTTTAAAAGCTCCGTAGTAATCCAAATTGTGACAAAAGTATACATCGATTAGGTGTGATAATATATCAGAAAGCCGGACATATTTTGAGCAAGCAAAAGTAATCATCTGGTCACGCTATAATTACTCAGAATTCAGTCACAAAATCATCACAGAATCTCATCAAATACAAGGACGATGCTTCTTGCATAAAATAAAATAAGTATAATAAATTTACCTCCTTGCATCCGTTAGTTTTTATCGATCAGAATTAACAGCAAATTTAAGGATCAAATGGTTGGCTACGTTATTCGTTTGTTTATTGCTAAGCAGTGCACTCCTCTGTACCGCAATAGTGGGCGCTGCCCAAAAAAATATGATTGTCAGGATACATTTGCAAAATATCGAGTTGTTCGTTTGCCGAGTTAAAATTTCAATTCAGTTGACATGTATTTAGCACTCGCCAATAAACCAATACAAAGTTGGATAATATAAGTAAAATACAGTGATATTTAAATACATTTATACAAATATGAAGGTAATTACCAGCAAAAAAAATGATGCCTTGAATTTAATTGTTTAAATTAAGATAGATAGCAAACGAAGATAACAAAACAAAATAGGTTTTCCCGGCCAATTTCTGTTCAGTCACTTCTGAAAATCGGTCATTCATTTTCGTCTGAATTTAAGAATCGCTCTGAATACATGGTTCATTTTCGCTGTCATTCGAATCCATTTTGATTGATTGAGCAGCACCTATCGTTTATGTTAATTCAGATTCGCTTACAAAACTTCTTTTTCGCTTTCAGTGGGCGATTTCAAACATTGGACATTTTTTCACCTTTAGTTTAATGTTCTGTGATCTACCAAAAAATGCCAATTCAGAGTAATGATAATGATAACAGTTTTTTTCAGCAGAAACGAATCACCTACCCTTTATTGTCGTGAAAGCTTAAAAAAAAAATGATCTCACCAAATAAGGGCCGACGTGACTCAAATCCAGACGATAAGGTATAATTAATGGAAGATACTTGAAATATATAAATTTATACATAATGTTTTGCGCAAACGTTTCCGAGTACGTTCTTCCGGCTAAATGTCGCTTCAGCTTATCAAGTTTAACGTGTACAGACATAAATCTTAGGTTGTGATCCAATCCAACAACCAAAACATTTTTTTTTTCGTTTTTACATTACAAACATTATAATGTATACACGCACACGCATCGAGGCTTAAGAAAGAAAATATGTACATGTCCTGGGCTTCCGACGACTTAGAAATGCCGCCTGTTTCCTATTTCCATATAACAAGAAACACAATGTAGGGGCAACTTTGCATGCGTCACGTTAGTAGTTTTTCCAATGGTTATATTTCTTTAACAGTACCTGAAACCACCCCAAAAAAGTATTTTGAATGGACATGTAGGCTTACAATAAATGTAATATGTGTTGAATCATTTCTTTCTCTCTATTTTTATTTTAAATTCAGCTTCAAATTACATCCACAATGGACGAAAAAAGATACCTAAGTTTGCCGTTCACTTTTTGTTAGAAATTTGAAGATAATGTCAAAATAACAAAATTAATAATCAACTCAAACCATATTTAGCGAATGGCTGCATGTCCATTCATTTGTTGAAATTCTTATTTGGTGGTTTGAGGTATTTAACAAAAACTCGCAACCATGGTAAAACTGCAAACGTGACGGTAGATAAGTGGCCCCATTCATTGTGTGTCTTGACAAATGCGGTATTACATTTTCATGGAACATCTTTGCATAGGTTTTGCCAACATTAATTGTTAAAATGTGTACATTTCCTTCAGCTTTACAAGTTGTTAGAGCACCTAGTGGCTGTCAATCAATGCCATATCTCTCTACTAAAGGCGTTATAGAAAAGTGCACTCTGTTATTTTACACGGTTGTATAGAACTGTAGAGCACTGCAAAATGTGAATAACCGAACAGTTCTTACTGGTTTGTTGTAGTCACTACAATTCGATTAACTCACCCACGATTTTGTTTGTTTGAAATTCACGTTATATCAAAATAATAATACAGATAGTTAGAAACAGCCAGAGAATGGGTCACTGAAGTGCAGTATATATACGACTACATGCTGGCGTATTTATAAGCAAACTAGTTGGATAATATCCGCATATAAAATTACGTTTTAGGATTAAGTGTTAAAAAGAAGGCCGATGATTGATTTACAGAGGCCAATTGCCAGTGGCGTATCCAGGAGAGGGACACAATATTTTTTTTTCAAGTAATTATTGCAATACATGGTTAAAGGGTTTTGACATCAATCCCACAAAAGAAAACCCGCTGAAATACCATTACCATGCGCCGTGAAAGTTGGCATATAATTTGTATAATTTGCAGTATGCATAATAATAGTCACTGTTGAAGAGCCCCCCCCCCCCCCACCGCTTTTTGATTTTACGGAGGCCAAGTGTCCGAAAAAAAATGTCTACATTTCGGCGCGGATGTGCGGTTGCCCCCCCCCCCCAAAAGCTGGATACGCTACTGACAATTGCAAACACATTTGCAACGCACGAACAGTCATCAACACTTCGTGTCATCATGGAATGTCAACGTGTCATCATGGAATGTAAATTGACTGATGGTTGCATGTGACTGGTTTCTAGCACTTGACAATTAACTTGGCACATAGAGTTGCTATAAGCAATTATAAAACTATGTCTGCTTATTAGCTTCATTTTAATGACTGTCCCGTGCAAAGTGTTTACCGAGTCAACAGTTTATTATTCTATAGTTTATTTCTTTCTCT